CGATCTCTGAGACCAGCTTTGCTTGGATGTGTGGATGCTTCACCAGATTCGCCATGATCCACTGCAACGCGGTGGATGTTGTATCAGTGCCCGCGTTTAGAAACTCCGAGCACAAGGTCACCATCTCGTCCTCCGTCAGCTTTCTTCCTCCATCTGGGAGTTGAAGGCTGAGCAGCGTATCGACGTAGCAGAGGATGGATTCGCCCTTCTGGTTTTTCTTCTSTTGCTCTTGCCGGGCTCTGATTAGAGGAATGAGAACGCTTTCTTGGTTGTGCCKGAGCTGATAGAGCTCCTCCCACTTCTTTCGGAACACAATCTTTCCCAATCTTGGCATGAAASCTAGCACGTTGAATCGACCGAAACTGGTTATAAGCTTCCTATGAACGGATTCGACTTCCTTGATWACCTTCTCGTCGAGCTTTTCTCCGAAGCACATGAGCACCAACAAGCAGAACATGGCGTGCTGGAAGTGATCCATGACGCGAACGGGTTGTCCGGAATTGGCTTGTTCTCTGAGCTTGTTGGTCAGTATCTCCAAAACCCAGATGCGGGCGTTGCCGTAAGACTTAATCCGTGAAGGGTGGAGRATCTCGTGGGTAAGATTACGTCGGAAGAGGCGCCAGAGGGGGCCATAGGCGCCTGCACCGATGTGGTGTTGGTTGCTGGTAATGATGCTTCTGGGTGCGAGAGCTGGAGGGCGATCGGCGAAGGTGGAGCCGTGCTGGATGAGGGCTTTGTGAGCGAGGTCGTGGTTGGCGATGAAGATARCTGGGCGGAAGCCAATTTGAAGCTTGATGATGGGGCCGTACTTGGTGCRTAGATTGCGAACACTGGTTTCAATATCATAGAGGGATTTGCGAATCCATAAGAAGTCGCCTATGATGGGGACAGTAAAGGGACCTGGTGGGAGCTTATTGTGGTTGTGGTTGAGGGAGAGTAGATCCAGGAGGGATTTCAGGGCTGCAGAGATGCAGAGAGAGGCGAGGATGATGAACCAAATCTCCATCGGAGGCTGACAACACAATTTCTGATTAACTTTCCGTTGAAATGAATTGGAGATGGACAATTAATTTATACCCCAAAATTCCCATTTGCAAGTGTTTTGATAAGTAAAGTTTAACAAGTGTTTGAGAATTGAGAGAGAGACTGAGAGAGATATTTACGTGTTCATCACGTCACATGTGGGGTTTCTGGATAGGTGTCTTGGTTCAACGGTCGGAGAAGGTAGGATAAGCCATTTGATCCGTCCAGAATTATGGGCCCTCGTTTTGTAATAATTTAAAAATCAAAACAAATAAACAGTAGTAAACTATTGGAAGAAGGGAATTTGCAAGGAAACTGGTACGATAGGAATGAAGAAAAGAACTGGATTGGGGTTTGACTCTCTAGGCTCTGACAAGCAAGGAAGAGACTTCGAGGCGTCTCCATCTCCAATCTTACAGAGGTGGCCCAAGACTTACCCCTCAAGTATTCTTCTCAGGAGTCACAGGAAGACGAAGCAATTAATGCTTCCACTATTACACCTCTTTTGCATCATACATTTTCTCTTAGGTCCCGTTTGTTTTCAGGTATCACAATTCCTACGATCTTTCTCTTACTTACGGGTGCAGGAAATAAAATCGAAATATGCGGTTAATCGAATCGATTTATTCGGTTTTGGTTCCTCATTTTTGAAAACGGAGGAACAAGTTCGGTTTTTGGTTAAGCTTAAAAAATCGTCGATTTACTGAATCGATCGATATATGTATTTATATATAAAATTTATATATATTTTTAATATATCATATATGTATTATATATATAAATATATATTTTTAAAAATTATATTTATACTTATTTATTTATATGCATATCTATTTAAAATATATTACATATATTATATATAGTATTTATAATATAATATTTTATATACATTTATTTATAATATATGTTATAAAAATAAAAAAAAAAACTAAAACTAAAAATCTGAAACCAGTGGTATCGGTTTGGGAAGATAGAAAAATTGTTAGGACCAATTCGTTTTCAAAAAAAACCCTACTCCTACTATATTGAATCCTATAGTAAATCAAGAKAGTATATCAATTATTCAAGTATTTGATACCCTCCTCAAAAGGGGTTAAGTAACTTACTTAGCATACCAATAACGTTAATTTATTTTATTGACTTCTATATTGTCTCTTTTCAAAAATTTTATTATTACTATTATTATAAAATACTTAAGCTACCTCCAACTTTTTTTTAAAAAATGAGTAATTCTATCCTAGCATGCCATGGCATTCCACTCTCGCATGTGATAATACATGATTGTTGTTAATGAGGGGTAATTTGGTCCTCCGAATTACATTATGACACGTGGCCTTCAAGCAACACTTTGGTGCTGAGCAAGTAAATCAACTTGGCAAGTCAGCCTGAAATACCTCACCCGGGCCGACCTTAATTGCCTTGGTCGGGTCGGGTTAATAGGTCTCCCAACATATTGCGACCTACCTTAGAGACTGGCCGAGTTGTAAGGACCTGTGGCAACCTACAAGGCGAGCTAGATGACTTGTCTCATAGATACATTATCAATCCGAGGTCTCCGGAGTGCTAATGAATCGACCATTAGGCTGACCTACTGCATCGCACGCATCAAAGTTAATCGGACGAACCATAACCCCCGTGTAGATTATGTAATTGACGTAATTACTCCCCTGATTAAGCGAAAACGGCTCCGTGAGAACATGAGACCCGTTGTGATGAGAAGACCAAGGCTGCTCATATCTATATAAAGCCATCATTCTTACCAATGAAGGTACATGCGATTAAGCTCTCAGACTCTCTTATCTCCTAAAGAACTCTCAAATAATTCTCCGACTTAAGCATCGAAGTGCCCACCTCGGGTAAAAACAACCCAGGCACTCTAATTTTGTCTCTCTTGCAGAACCAAAGAGCTCGACCATCTATAGCTCGGCCTAACACATCTCGGCCCCTGACATGGCAAGCATCTGAATCAGCATCCGAGTCACCAAACACGTGAGAGTAGCTAGACCACGCTACATCAGTTATTATATTTTGACCAAAATGTTTATTTTCCAAATTTTCACTTCATATTAATTGTTATGCCAAATCCTTTCAATCTCTCTTTTTTCTTAAAAATGATTTATTTTCCAAATTTTYCATTCACAGTTCACATCAATCGCTTAATGGTAAATCTGCAATCATTTTTTTTTTTTTTTGTAAAAACCAACCTTGCATGTGTATTTTGGACATTTTCATGTTTGCAAATATCTGAAAAAGTTCAGTGGCAGTAATTGCACTGAACTTCAGTGGAAGTTTCAGCAATTTACCCTATGTTTAAAAACTCAATTTTATGGTTTTTACCCTTTTCAAAATTTCACATCAAATTGGATAAAAAGACTCTTTCACCTTTAGGCTATGTTTAGTTTGAAGGAAAAGGCAGGGAAAGAAAAGGAAAGACAGAAAAGCCAATACAAGATTTGTAAAGATTTCCCTACATTTCCTTCAACATCTCCTTGACACTGTCAATTGTAGTTTTACCTTTCTCATCATCTAGATGCTTAAGAGCTCATATAATTTTCGATCACACTCAACAGTAAGCCTATCTATGATATCCTCTAGGCTCTAGCTTTCTCATCGTGCAACAAGTTGCTTCTTTCTGGGTTTACGGTTTCATCTTACACCTCTACAATCCTGAGCACGTCAAAGCCCTCCAATCCGATACAATCATATAATGGATAGAAAGAAAGGTGGCAGGTAAATACTAAATAGAGAGAAGGGGACAGATTTTGACTACAAATGGAGTTGGGATGACAAATCACTTGTTCTGTCTGGCGTTTGGGCCTCTAAATCTTTTAAGCAGTGCACACACGTTTTGAAAACTTGAAGAATAATCAGGTGTTCATCTTCAAAACTCGGATCAGTCAAACTTTTGGAATTTTCTATCAATGAATCCAATGAACTACATTTAAACAAAATCTGAAAGCTACAATGTTTATCTAAAAAACTCAAAAGCCGATTTTTCTTTTTTGAAGCCTAACCAGGCATAATCCATTAAGCAATGCAGAGATACAATCCAAAGAGAATACAAAACAGCAATAAAGGCCATGCATATAACTATGGCAAAAATAGAGAACTAAAGGTAGTAGACCAAATGGCTGAACTAAAAAAATTAGTAAAACTGAGCACTGGGAGAAGATAACTTWTGAAACMAATCTGCATTTAATTTCTGAAAACGCCAAAAAGGAGGGATCTCTTCCTCCAACAGAGATTGAATCTTAAAGAGCACTAGCGGATCTCTCGCAAACTGAACATGAAAAATCCGACCTTCAAAACATTAACGGGTTCAAAGAGTAATGGTTGATTCCGCTAAATAGTCTTGAAAAGCAAGGTGGGCCGAAGACTAGCCTGATTTCACAAATGCCAGCCCATGAAAACTACCTCACCCACCAAAGCTGCAAAAAATMAAAAACCGCCACTTTAAATCTTTAATTCTTTTAAAATATCTTTTATGATCATTTCATCATATATGTGCTGCAAAAAAGTATAATTTAAACTTAAAGCAAGTTCAAAATATCGAGATATATTGGGTGACATCGATAGATCGTTTTATGCTTTTTTTTTTATTTTTTTTAAAATCGGTTCAGGGGCCAGTTTAGGGCTCCTCCACCCCCTGAACTGGTGAGAACCCCGATACAACCCCTGTAAAGACATATTGAGGAGCAACCAGCATGATACGTATTAGCCAATATGGGCCGATACGTAACGATCTTTCGAACTTTGACTTAAAGAGCCAATAAATACAATACCTAAGAGGACAAAAAAAAAAAAGAAATCAACACGTAGAGAAACCACTCCAAAAGAGCCAGGAGTGRATGGAGACAAAATAATGCACACCTGGCTGGGCTATCTATCACGTACAAATGGTGCCCACAATGAACAATTGCTTGTTCACTTGTGATAGGTAACCCAACCTACAATCTGATGTGTATGACTTGGTCTCCAGTTCATCCCGCCTCGAAACTGATGGTGCGTGATCTGGAAGCTCCTAGCTAGGTCACTTGGACATTGTTCATGAAGCGAGCTGGACCAAACTACAAGATAGAGATCAGAGAGACCGGGGCAGATGACTCGGGGAGGTCACTCCGATGCTTAAGTTAGTATCTTTGTTGTGGTTGCGAGCTGAAAGCTTATATGCTAGAGAGCCTCTGAGCAAATAATTGTGTGTACTTGGGTCTTAAGGGTTGATACCCTTTTATAACAGAGGTGTCATGGGTCTTCACGAAACGTTCCTGGGATCTTCAGCTTTTGACATTAGGATCTATTCCGCTTTAGGAGAAGGGTAATGTATCCGTTAATGGAGCTTATCACTTCCCTCYGGTCCAAACGGGATGAGGATAAGACCTATAATCACACGATGTGATCTCGAAAAGTTCAGAGACAGCTAGCAGGTTGTTGAGTTCGACGATATGGTACTTTGGCATACATGGGTACCAAGGTGCTTTGGCCCCGTAGTGACCAAGTACCCAAGCTCCCTCAATTTGTTGACGGGAAACCATACGCCATCTTGCCATCCTGCTAGAAGATTGTATCCATGTGTCTTTCACATACTAGGTCGGGCCAAATCACCTCTCATCAATTGCCCCCCACTCCTCATCTCAAGGGTCCTAACCTGATGCGAGGAGTTCATGCATGTCCAGGTGAATTTGGCATGAGTTCTTGGYAGTTCAAAGGGTGGCTCTTTGGTCAAACATTTGTGACCTGTTGGCTCGACTAGGGGCTACCCTAGATCATGTACTAGGAATGGGCAGATGTCGCATTGTTTTATAAACCCTAAGGACGTCAAAACATGCTATCAACTGATTTTAGTCTCGGGTGGCGTGCAACTGGTTTTTAAGAGAGTCGTCAAATTACTTAGATCTCGATTGTCGAGTCCCGGTCATGCTAATTATAAATAGTGGCCTAGGGTATCCATTTTCTTGCGTTATGTTGCGTGCTCAAGTTTGCTAAGGTCGCATTTTAAATCCTCTAGGTCAGTGTCAATTGCTCTTTGCTTTCGAGGTTGTTCCATTTTCTTCTTTGGTGAGTTTGTTTTGTCCTTGCTTTCCAGTTCTTGTTCTTTGTCTAAGTAGTTAGTATGTCGAGCTTTAGTACAAATAGCTTGTTCGACCTTAGTGAGGAGTCTACCAATGTTGAGATGGGGACCTCGACACAGGTTGTGGAGTCTCATCCTGCCGAGGTGAATGCTTCAA